CTTCTAAATCCAGCTCTCGGCAAAAAAACATTGCCACTCTTAGAAATATACTATTTCTTTTTTAAAAGGGAGGGTCAGAAGGGCTCGTTAAAATGGGTTAAAGAAGCCATAGAAAAGCCACCTGTTGGTCAGAAACCCAAAACCACGCACAGTTGATAGTTATGGAAACGGAATCAAAATATCTCACTGGAGAGCAAACTGGCCCCGAGTCCTAATCTATGCAGGTCCTAACCAAGAGAGCTGCCATTAAATTTCCATGTTTTCCCCACAAACAGACTCTTACTGCAGTGGTGTTGAACAGCTAAGGCCCTAGGAAACAAGGTTCAAACTGAAGGTCGTCCTACAGCAGGCGCATTGCATAGGTGCTCTGAAGACGAATGGCCAAAGTAGAGTTGCCAGATAAAATACAGTGCTCCCCGGTGAAAAACTGAATTTTAATGTTACACGGGATATATTTAGAATCACTATTGACTTGAAATTCAAATGTGACTAGATAGCCCGAGTTTTTATCTGCTCAATGTGGCAACGTGGGGCACAGAAAAACTAAGATAGTACACTTTCCGTTAACAGTCTCCCTAGACCTAGTGAAAGCATCCACGGACGGAACCCTACGCTTCTCGACCTCATTTGATGGTTCTCATTACTTACAAAAATGGCAGCATTTTCGAGGTTGGTAAGCAGTGTTAGGAACACATAACTGATGGGCTGTGCTTGTGTGAAGGATTATGACAAATATTTAAAGATGCAAGTGCTAGAGATGTCACATCAGTTCCTGTCATTTAAGCAACTGAAGATGTCATAAACTGCCTACATCAGGAGTCTGGCTTTCTAGTCCGGCTTGCACATTAACCCGGCGATAACCTATTGACCGCACATATCCCACGAGAAAGCAACCATAGGGCAAAGCAGACACAGCCCACCCACTTCTTAGAGCTGGCATTGTCTTCTACAGGAAACATTAACTTTCCACTTGCTATCTCACGAGAAAGGCAAATCCTTGTCTCCTAAACACCGATTGAGAAAAGGAATTCTTAAAAGGAGGTGGATAGTTCTAACTGCTCTCATAAGGAACCTACATTTGCCATGGGTCTCACGCAGGTGATAAACATGTTTTTAAATGCCACTCCCTGTGTTTTTTTTTTTTTTTGTGGGTCCTAGGCTTTCCCCATCCCCAAGTGAAAATTATTGCTTTAGAAAGTTGTCTTAGCATGAATACTTGACCAGTAATTTCCTTCATAAAAACACTAGTAGAGTTAGCACAGGCCCAGGGGCGAAGGTTCAGTTAGCGATCTGGCCATTATCAAGGACTCTGGGTTCTGGAGAAAGTCACTCAGAATCATCAGATAAAATGACCCATTTACTCCAAATCATCCCCAAATGTGTTGCTCTGGGGATTTGACCTTTCAGATCTAGCTGACTTGGGTTTTCTTAATACACACATTTGCAAAAGTCCTTAGTGAGGACTTTATTTTTTCTTTAATTATAACTAAACCTTTTCTTTTTTTTTTTTCCTGATCATGGTGCTACGTCTGAACTAACACATCCTTAACCTTTTGAAGTAGGCATTTAGTGGCTGAGTTGACTGTCTTCCTACTTTGCAGTGTGAGTTTGCTGGGACAGTCAGCCTTGCCATGTTAGTGGCAGTCTGGAGTACAAGTGACAACACTGATCTCACCTCTGCATTTGGGGACCTGTGTGTTCATTGCTGGGTATAACCAGCTTTATTAAGGTTAAGAGCACAAAGGCTAACATTATCGAGCATTGTCTATGTCCCCAGCACTGTATTCTTGTAGGTATGCTCAGTCAAAGTCAATTAACATTTTCTCCAACCATATGAGGGGCTCCCCTCCCTTAATTTTAAATATAAGAAAATGCAGGGTGGTTAAGGTGCTTGTCCTGAACTAGGGTGGGTACTGTAAATAACCAGGCTGCAGAATCTACTTGTTCCACATAGACGCTTTGCCTCAATGAATGCATCAGAGGACATTACAAAGAGCTTGCAATTTTCAGGTCTCTTCATTCAAAGGAATATGGCATGTCTTTTACTGTGACCACAGATTTCAGGAGAAAGGAATGCAGGCAACTCTCCCTGATTTCCTCCAGGACACCTTCCCGGAGAAAGGGGGCGGTTTTGCAGTATATTTGTGACACGGCTACAGAACTAACACACATGAGAACTTGTATAGGCAAAGAGCAGTGGCCGATGTTAGTCATGCAGAGAAGAGAGAGCTGATGGATGGAGAACACGCATGTGTGCATGCACGCGCATGTGCGCATGCACACATACACATGCACATGTGCACACACACAGATCCCTTGCTGGTGAGCAGACTGACATTCTAGCTCTCTTCACCTTGCTTAGCAGAGGACCAATGAGTGCCCCTGGGTGCCTGGGAACAGGGTGCACTGTGCACCGTCTTCCAGATCTGGGCTGGGGTAGACAGGGAACACCTAGCGCAAGAGAAGCTGGGTCACTGGCTTCTCATATATGTGGACTACTCCTACATAATGAATTTCTTTTGTCTTCTTAAGTGTTTAAAAAGGCCATTTGTGTGCTTCTACATACCTTGTATAGCTCACTGAGGGACACTTCAGGGGACAAATATTGAGCTGTCTCCTGTCAAAGTACATGTATTTCAAGTGCCCATAATATATACTGGATGAAACACATTTATCAAGAGGATTTGTTGAGTTAAAAATTTAAGCCCAGTTGGGCAGTGTCTCTAGTTCAATAGGTATCACTTTAAGGTTTGTTCAAGTTTTTCTGAAACCTCTAACGCTGGAGAGAAAATAGAACAGGAAAACGAAAAGCTACCCTTTGGTGAGTAGCTTGCCAGGGAAACTCAGTCCAAGTTGCCCAGCACGGGTGCCTGCTATTATCCAGAACCTTCTAGAAAAATATATCAATCTGAAACTGCTTTACTTTGGAATGCGGAGACTCTCATGAGGTATTTATGATAATTTTGGCATTATTTTCCAGTCTATTTATGGTAGGCAGTTTTATTAACAAACTGTCCATGGAAAGATTCATTGAGATTCACAAACTCCAGAGAAAGCTGCCCTCCGCGTCCTAGCTCCCTGTATGGGGTAGCAACATGAAGACCAAGTAAGGGAAAGAGGCAATATGTCTTCCTAAGCCTCCAGAGCCCATGACCTGATGGCCCAGATCCCAGTGGAAGAAGCCTGAGGGCATAGAACTGGGGCTGCTCAGCCAGTCTCTGAAACACCAGCCACCTGGCTCTGGGGGAGGGGAGGAGCAATGAGCAATATTTTTGTCTCAGCAGAGCACAGTTGAACAGGAAGACTAGAGAAATCAATCAACCAACCAATCATCAATCACCAATCAATCAGTAAACCATCTTATTTGAGCTCCTTATTAAGATTAATTCATTTTTGTTTTTTGTTTGTTTGTTTTGGTCTTTTCCAACCGCCATGTTCAACAGTATTAAGCACGCAAATAAATAATAAATAAATGGATAAAGGTGAAAAGTCAATTTAGCAAAGAAAATCAGCCCACAGCAGGTTTCTTAAAAGCTTCTTAAACGGGTTCCCTTTCGGGTCCTCAAATTCTCCTTGGAGGACTAGGGAACTACTTTTGGACGCAATCCAGCCGGGGAGGCTATTCCATTTCAGGTTGAAGCGCTCCTCTCCCAAGAGGACCGCCACGGAAGCCGCCCGACCGTTCCGGAAAGATCTGCAGGCAGGTCTCTAGCCCATGCAGATGAACGGCTCTCCCAGACGTTAGTACGGAGAGAAAACAGCGTGCTAATGGCTCAAGCTAGGGGAACTTTCCCTTAAAACTACGTTATCCGCTGAGAGCCGCGGGGGAAGCTTCCAGATTCTTCTCAAGGAGTTGTGACTTCTTTGGGGCAGGGGCGGGGAGGCACATTTACAGGAACCCAAGCAGTTCAAGAAGGAAAACGCTTGAACGAAAGCTTGAATCTTGAATTGGCTTGTATGTGGTTTTGGATCAGTTCTTAAACAGACCAGACTGTCCTCTTGGGTTACTCTCCCTCCGTCCACCCCACCCCCAACCCCCTCACCTTGTCCCTTATCCATAGTTCTTTATTGGGCTATACTTTCTTTTTTCTGGATAAAAACCTAGGTATCAACCCCAGACAAAGGTGCCTGATTTTTCTGGCTTGGGTTGTCTACCCAAGGTCGTGGCTGGCTAGTAGTCCCTAGACCATCCGGCAGCAGGGGGGAGGGAGCACACATAGAGGCAGCGTAGAGCCAGAGAGTGACATTTGGGGGTGGGCGCACAGGCAGAAGGAGGTGTGTACCTTACTTTTATCCAAGTTACTAATTTCATTCAGGGAACACATTTTTGGAAGGCTCCTTGGCCACAGTAGACCTGCAGTTCTCCAGCAGAAATCGCAAGCTTGACCCCAGCCTGGGCCTCTGCCCCTGAGACAGTGCCGCATCATCCCTAAGCCTAAGTAAAAAGCAACGCGGGAGTTCCAGACCTCTAAGTCCTAGAGCGCCAGGCCAGTTGAGCGCACAGGATGATGAAGCCCTCTTCGCAGCGGCTTTATCCGACCCCTGCTCTGGCTCTGTATTCCAGGCAGGACAAGACGCGGAAAGAAGTGATGTCTGGGACTGTGGCAGGTGCGCTCTGAGACTCCAGCAAAGAGGAGAAGCCGCCGCAGAGAACAATCGTCTCCTTGCGGGGTTCGGGATTCTAACGCACCAGTTAGCCGGCCACCTGTTTCACAAAGCTTGAATTTGGGGGGGAGGGGGAGGACACGGGCTGCCGCAGCAAGGACCCAGTCTTTTCTCCCCTCCAGGCCCGCCAAAATCGTACATCGCAAACCTGTGTGTGCATACCTGCAGACCCACCACCCTCCAGTGGCCCGGTGTCGCTCCCCCCCCCCCCCCCCCCCCCCCCCCCCCCCCCCCCCCCCCCCCCCCCCCCCCCCCCCCCCCCCCCCCCCCCCCCCCGTCCCCCGGCTCTGGTGCCGGCCTCCCCGCCTGGCTCTTCGGCGGAGCGAGCCAAGTACCTGCGGTGAAGATGCAGAGAGCGATGAGCGCCTTGCAGACCATGTTACTCCGGTGCTCGGTACCGAGCTGGACGCTGCTAGGGAAGAGTTTCCTGGGGTTGGCCAAGTGCGTCCGGGCACAGGCAGCTCCTCTACGGCCTGGTGGGCTGCGGGAGGAGAGGGTGGTGCTAACCTCCCGGAGCGACCAGTCCAGGCAGCTACTGTGGCAGCTTTGGTGTCTGGCGGTGCTAGGCGAAAAGGAGGTGGCGCACGGAGTCAGCTGTGTACCCTGCGGCGCCAGGCGCACTTCTGCTCCATCCCAGCTGCCCGAGCCCAGAGCCCGCCTGCAACATCGCCAAACCCCTCCCAACCGGCCCTCCTGCGAGGACAGGGGCCACCCACTGGCCTTCCCCCTTCCCAGGAGTCCTGGCCCAGGGCGGCCTCTGCTGGACAGTGGGCGCAAACCCGAGCTTTCAGTGGATTCAGCAGCAGCTCAGAGAGCCTTACACTGTTCTAGAAGCCCAGGCAAAGCACAGTGCTAATGAATGGGTCCCTGCCCTCAGGAATCCAACTCAGTTTCCCCTTATGAAAACACATTACCTTTAGAGAGGTGATCAAAAAGTTATTTCAGAGAATCGATACACTTCTTCCCAAGTATGGGACGAAGACCTTCTCCTTTATTTCTCTGTGTACATTAAACCCTCACCAGTCCTAAACGCCTGCTGCATTTCTTGGTGTCTGGGCTACTTTATTCAGCTTCAAACCAGAAGAAATGCCACTCTCTGGGGACATGATCGCCAGATAACTGAACCACGTGTCTGACTAGTTACCGCTCTGAAATTTCTTCTACTAACCCAGAGGCATAAAAGTTATTATTTCACAGGTAAGAAATTGTAGGCATGAGAAATTAAGGAACATGCTATGTTTATATAGCTTGTAAGGATGGTTTGTACAGCAGGCGCATCATCACAATATAATAACATACTGTTGAGTAATAATAATAATAATAATAATTGACATTTCCTGAAAAATGGAAAAGGGCCAGGCAATGCACAATGTACATTCATACAACCCAAGTTCAGTCACTCACTTACTATGGCAATCATCCCAGGTGGGTACATTGCATCCTTGATTGTTTGGGGTAGAAAATAAGTTTGTTTCCCCAGGCCTCACAGTTAGTCAAGGGTAACCAGATACCTCCCTGGGCTCATTCTCTATACCTGAATGCCTCTCCAAAGATCAGGGCTTCTCCAAAGAGGGGTCAAAACTGACCTTTCACCTAGTTCTCCTGTTAGGATTCAGGCATTATGCTGACCTGCCCTGTCTCCTGCAGGATGTACCCAGGCATTACTCTAGCCATCCCAGGGTCCTAATTTGAACACAGGGGCGAAGGTCTCTTTAAGCGACAAGCTCCGCCCACTCCTGGTTGCTCTTTCCCACTGTTCCTCCTCTTTTCTGCCTCTTCTCCTCTCTCTCTCTCTCTCTCTCTCTCTCTCTCTCTCTCTCTCTCTCTCTCTCTCTCCTCTCCCCCCCCCCCCCCCTCCCATTCCCTTAATTTCAAATAAACGCCACACTCAAGCTCTGTCTGCAGGGAGTATTTGGCACCCACTGCGGTCCTCAGCTGCCATGGGACACCTCAAGGTCCCAGTGGTACCCTTTACAACACCCCCCCCTGCCCCCCCCCCCCCACCTAGTTCTAATACCTGTTACAAGGCACATCCTCTTCTGTTTGGTGCAGTCTGAGTCTGGTGCCCCCTAGTGACCAGCTAGAACCGAGATTTGTAAGAGTAAAGGAACCATCATGAGGACTTGAGCTTGGTGCTCTCTGTGGAACTGACGTCCTCTCATTGGCTGTGTCATTTTCCTCACATCAAGGGCTCCTTTCTTTCTCCGTCAGGGTTCATGACTTTAACTGTGGCCTCGCCTCTCCACCACCGCTTGAAGATCTTGGACTTCCACAAAAATTACACGGGGCCCATAATTGTCCTGTCTTCACAAATGCACAGATTCCTGTTGGGATATGAAGCAAAAATACAGCAAGCAAGGACCGAATCCTCTTTCCTGCCTCCTTGGCTTCCCCAAACTCACAAATTCAACGTCTTAAACATTTCTCTGAAGCTTTTCAGCGTCTACCTGACTCGTATGATTGCAAAGCGTTTTGACATCTGGGCTTTGATTGTCATGGAGTCTGCAGCCAGACACAGATGGAGCCTGACAGGGGCGTTCTTTAAGGCACTGTCTGGTGTTGTGTCCCACATTGGAGAGCCATCTGTCAGGGTCCAGCCTCGATGGGTTCATACGTTCCAGAGTAGGGCATGTGGATTAAAAATGTTAGGTGGAATAAACAGAGATAGATATATGGTGACACAGGCTAGTACTGGGAGGGCAGCTCAGGGAATACTGAATCTGCCCTTCTTTATTTCTTCTGACCTTTAAATACCCCAAGCCAAAGAAGGGGAAGAAGGCAAAAGACTTTTTTTTTTTTTTTTTTATCCTGAGACAAGGAACAAATGAAGTGATTACCATCTTAATTCCCTAAGCACCAAGTAGCCACACCCTAGGTCAAGATATCTTTGTTAGTAGTCACACCTTAAGTTAAATCTCCTGTTGATAACCTTGAAGGAGCAAGAATAGGCTTAAACTCCTGACCTGTAGTCAGGATAGAACGTGTACACTTCTGTGGGCCATTTAAATATCCAAAACACCAAACAGCTACACGCTAGGTCAGAATATCTTGTTTGTAGCCACTACCCAAGTCAGACTTCACGCCTATAACCTTGAAAGAGAAAGTGTGGCCTTAGTTCTCTGACCTTCAGTCAGGGTGGAGCAGATTCTGCAGACCCCCACAGACTGGTGCCTTTCCCTTTATAGGGGCTGACTTAAGTAAGGTTGCATAGCATAGATGTCTGTTTATCTTTCTGAAAAGACTCAAACTGTCCCTGAACATTGGTTTCTGCAGGTTACAGAGCATCTCCAGCATTTCAGAGTGGACCAGTGCCTTTTTAGTTCATTTATTGTTTATTCTCTGACAGTTTCATACATCCAAGTAGTGGATTTTAGTCCTTCTCTTGGCCTCTTTCCCTGTCTCAACCCCTCTCTTTCTCCTCCTGTAGCCCTTCTTGCAGTGAAAACACCCGTCTCACACACACATACAGTACACAATGGCAGAACCATAGGAGATTCTGTTCTAATACCAAGCCAAAATTCATTAACGATACCTTTAGTGAAACTACACAGAAACTTAAGCAGCAATTCCAAAAAGAAAACAAACATATGAATATAATACAAGCAAAAGATACACAATTTGCTGCTTGCGTACTGAGGAACTAACAGTAGGAAAACATTAAAAGTCTTTGTTTTCTGTAATTAAACCATTATGCTTCTGTAAGAGGAGAAAAGTCTGTGTGTAAAGTAAGAAAATTAAAATTCTTGACATAAAATAATCTTGAGTACAAGCTGAGGTGTTTCAGGCAGTGTGAAACGGCATTCAATGGTATGACGGTATTCCCAGGGTTAAATTACATGCTATGTGTTTTGACCCAAGTTTGCAGCAAAGCCTCTAGATGCAACACAATCAACATCCATTAGAAACACTTGGGTGATGGAGGAAGGTCATTGGCTAATAAAGAAACTGCCTTGGCCCGTTTGATAGGCCAGCCTTTAGGTGGGTGGAGTAAACAGAACAGAATGCTAGGAAGAAGGGAAGTGAGCTCAGAAGGCATGCCTGCTCCTCTCCAGGGCAGACGTGATGAAGCTTCGACCCAGGATGGACGTAGGCTAGAATCTTCCTGGTAAGTGCACCTCGTGGTGCTACACACATTAGTAGAAATGGGCCAAGCAGTGTTTATATGAATACAGTTTGTGTGTCATTATTTTGGGGGCATAAACTAGCCAGGCGGCTGGGAGCTGGGTGGCAGGAACGCAGCCTGCAGCTCCTTCAACACTTGGGTTTGAATTAATTACCTCTCTGAACAATTTTATAACTCTATATTCAGTTACATAACTATATGTGGTTACTCCTGGCTGTGAGCTAAAGCAAGTCAATGGTCATGTCCAAATTCAAGAAAGCTAGGAAGCTTAATCTTCTCATGTGACCAGAGAGAGAGGAGAAAGTCTACTGGGGAAGAGTTATGAAATGTTTATTGATTCTTCCACCAGCAGGTTTCTACAAAGAATGATTAATCAAAAAAAAAAACATAATCATAAAAGTTTTTTAAGTGTTACAAATAAATATCTAATATCATTTATTGACATCTGTTATTAAGAAAATTTCTAAGTTGTGTGTGTGTGTGTACATGCATTTGTTTGCACTTTATGAGGTAAGTACCAGAATATACCGCACCAAAATATACTCTTTCGGCATAATAATTACTTTGAGAAATAGGGAGAATAGGTTGGAAGTAACTCTTACAGAGGGGAACTTAGAAAGAAAACAGCTGTTTGTAAGGACGCCTCTATGTCAGGACTAAGAGAAATATGGATGACTAAATTACTAGACACATTGATCCGTGGGCAGAGCAGTGGGCTAAGTCTGTTCAGCTCGGAGCTGCCTTCTCTACCCTGGCAGCGGCAGCCACTCTCTGATTCCTCCTTCCCAATAAATCGCTTGAATGAGTTCTGGGGGAAAGACTTCCTTTCTCAGGAGTGGAATGGGGCAGAAAGTAACAACTTTCACCCTTTCACCAGAGCAAGAGCAAATATGTAGGGGGTAGGGGGTGGGCAGCACCCCTTAGCAGAGAGGAACCCAGAAGTAACAACTTTTTCAGGTGTAGAATTACTACATCTCTTTGGGGCAACTTCCTTAACAGAGTGGAGCAGAGCTGAGCTGAGCTGTAATGGCTCTCTGGGAGAGCTGCAGGATTGCTATATGCCTACAGGGAAACCACCGCACATCAGAATAGAGCTATAGTTCAGTCTGGCTTCTGACAGCCAAAACACCTTTCCTTTCTGAGCTGTAATACTTACAGATATAGCCTGGCTCCTGACAGCCAGGATAAGTTTCCCTTCCAACCTATAGGAATAGCCTGGCTCCTGACAGCCAGGACACCTTTCTCTTCAGAGTTATAGGTATAGGCTGGTTTCTAATGGCCAGGATACCTTTCCCTCCAGAGCTGTAACACTTATACACACTCTTAAACTTGTTTTTTTTTCTCATATTAATCTGCCTTTCATTACAGAGGGTCCAAGCTAAGATATTCTATATAAGAAAGTCAAAACTAAATTTTCTCTTCTGTGATACTACTATTCTAGACTTGAAAGTAAAGTAATTAAGATACTTGGAGTTGAAGGAAACTGAAGGATGCTAAGTTATCTAACAACAGGGAACACACTCTCATCAGTGGGT